CATTCTCTCTGTATTTCTAATGCACCAAACATCAGTATGTGCAGGTTACTCATCTTCTCTACACACATTTGTTCTTCTCTATTGAGTATCCAGCACCTTGTATCTTTGTATCTTGTATCTTTGACTAATTCTTAGTCTTTTACCATAATGAATATGCTTTTTCTTCATTCTTTTGCCATTTGTATACATGAGTAGATTTATGTTTAAATCAGCTATTAAAAACAGACATTTTCTTAGCAATACCTAAGATTCACTATTTTCATTCATTCCTGTGATTCCAAGTGGTTCAATTACTTTCCATTAGTGTAATATTTCATTCCCACCGATATATTAATGTCACATAACAAAGTAATATTTTAGTAAGACAAAGAAAGAATAGATTTAGTACATCTATGCCATATGCAACATTTTCCTTTACTTTAATACTAAAGAGATAATACCTTCAGTTTTGACATATTTTGGCCAGAGTACTACACATACAACCCAATCCTAGTTTTACTATGAGTGTGCTTATATTATTCTGCATCACACCAGGCTATTTAACTTAACATACCATAGTCTGCATCCTTTCTGGTACGAGATATCTACAGGGTGCAAAAAGAAAAGTCAACTTTATTTCTATAAACACTAAACAATTTAGAGTGTGCATTAGATTTGCAGAGTGTGCATTAGCTCAGGTCCCTGTTCCAAAGTTCTCTAAACAATGACTATGTAGTCTCTTAAACTGCGTGGAAGGAACTTATTTTACCCAAGTCTCCTTGGGATATTTTGCAGGTCTTTTTAACACTCTTCCACTGCAACCTTGTAAGAATGGTAAACTTTGTATTCATCCAATCTGAGTAGGCCATCAGGACCAAAGGTTTATTCTCCCAACCTTTGAGATTCATGCTGGAGCCCATCATCAGGGAACTTCTCCCTCTCCAGAATATGTACACTGGGCTGTTCTGCGCATTGTATTTATATGATGTCTGATTGTATGTAACTTTTGGCTGTTAATGAGGGTGATTATGGCTGGTTATTAAATTGCTAATTGTCATTTCCTTGTGCCACTGCACTCTTTCTCAGAACAAGCCATGAGTATCTCCAAGTTTAACAATTCAGACAGAGCAAAAAGTTGATGTCTCTTACTTTATTACTGTCAGTATTTTTCTTAAGAAAGCACCATATACTTGATGCAAATTCTTTTTTTTAATCTATGGCTGAAAGCAAGATTTTGAATGCCAGATATTCTAAAGAAGTGTTGCACAGAAAGGACTGTACCATCCCCTGCATTCAGGGAAATTGACTTTTAGCCCAAACAATTTCATGTTAAAATGTCATCTCTCAAGGATGCACCTTGACTGCTCTGAGAACATTGTCCTATGCTCATGGCAATTCTCTGTGATACATTAATAATAGAAAACTCTGCCAACTGGAAGGTGCTAGAAGTGGATTCAGGCAGTGGTATTTTAGCAAATATTTGAGATATTCAGCAGAGCTGCCTACTTCAAGACCTTACTGTAGTGCAGTTTTATTCACAACATTTCCTTCTCTTATCCTTACAAGGTCTTCTGACTTTTGGGAGGACAGGATTAAAATCTAGGTGATAAAAAGCAAACAGTCTTTCTCTTGTCGGTATATATAAGAAAAAAAATCAAGCACAGGATATACATGAACTTTCCATTGGTATTTAATCAACAAGTTGTTTTTTTCCAGAAGTGATCTTACACAAATTCAAATGTGGTAGTATTTTTTGTACCATTTATATTTCTATTTTCTCTGGCAGAAGTACAAACTCTTAAAGTGATTTTTCATATGAACCTGCAACTTTGGGAGCCAAAAATGTATTACTTGTAAGGAGAATTTTGGATATTTTGAAAGAGAATGAAGGTCACAAACAAACAAACAAAAAAGCTTGAAATGGAGGCTCAAAGAAAAAAAAAGGTGAAATGACTTTCAGAAATAGCTAAACATGCTGGAGCAGGAAACCACAACTTTGAAATATATTCATAATGATCTTGGAGACATGCTTATAGGTTTGGCATGACTGAAGTATATAACATTATGGACTTTATGGCAAGAATAGAAAGAGATTTTATTGTGACATTAGGGTTATCAGTCTCTCTCTATGGTGAATGCTACATAGTCCATCCCATAACTGTTCAAGAAATGTGAACAAAGTACAATCTTATGGCTTATTTTATTTATATTATTTGCAAGATTCTCCTTTTTTAATATTAAGGGGACCTTTAAAGAGTACAAATCCTAAAAGCATCTTTGAGGGAGAAAAATCCTTAAATATTATGGTGATTTGGAAGTGACCAAGAGAAATGGGTGATGGCCATAAAAAAATAAAGGAAGAGAGGAAGGAAAAATAGAGGGAGAAGAAAATGACAGAGAGAAACAAGAAGGCAATTATTCAGAGAAAATGTTGCTCTTGTCAGAAAACAAGAATCCATGTGTTAACCTGGGAGACAGAACTATTTTATTAAAACAAAAATTAGTATCCTTTCCAAAACTTATTGATATGTATTTGGGATAATTCATAAAAAAGTGGCTAATTCCCCAGTGGAAATAAAAATAAAACTGTCAGAAATAGGAAAACAATGCATTTAAGTATATAAATACTTGGTTCTGCAGAGATGAATCTGCTTCTAACTCTAACATCAATAGTTGAAATCATAAAAGGACTCTTGACTCTAATAATTGGGATTAAGAAGAATATTTATTATGATTCTAGACTTGCTATTACGGATCTTAAACATCTGTTTTCAATAATTAACAACTATTGATGAAAGCAATGATAGAATTGATGTTGCAAAATAATTCATCCAGAATTGCCTTTAGAGATCAGTCTATAAGAAGTGCATCTGCCATGGATCAGTCAAAATTAAAAGACCCATTGATTAGCATAAAAACTCAAACTATGAAATCAATTATTATAAAGCACTATACAATTAACTAGTCTGAACTAAAATATATATAATTAAAACAGTAATAATTTATAATTTTTACAGGTTCAAAAGCCCCTTGGTATCACCACCAAGGAAGCTGCATCAAATTCCCAGGGACTAAGTTCAATTTGAAGAAACTTTATCTTCATGTTCTGCTTACAAAACTGACTTACTTCACCAGAGTTCAGTTTAATTCCCCAAACAATGGTTTCAAAAGTGTTCTTACCCATCAATTTTCTGAATGAGAAATAGCAAGTAAAAAAATCAATCCCTTTTGATTTCTTTATTGCATGTAATGGAGTATGCCTAAGCCCCAGGAATGCCTGGCCCTTGATTTTTCATAGCTTATTGATTTTTTTAATATAGACTTTTGTTGACAGCCATCTCACATCTAAATAGAAATACATTTCTATAAAGAAAAAGAAACTATATGTATCTAACATTAAGCATGATTATCTACTTCTAAGCAAGCTCATGTAGGATATTCTGTTCATATTAACTGGGTGACAGAAATAATAGGAGATATTTTGCTCCTGGACTAAAAATCAGGATGATTATTCTGTGTATAGAAATCTGGAATTGGATCATGGCTTAAAGCAATTTGCTACTGCAATGTAGTAATTTGAGAATGTGCTAGTGCTGGCCAATCATCAAAAGTGCCAAGCGCTCTTTACATGTCAAGGGGATGTGCATGCTCTGTTGGTCATTAGATGTTTTCCTCCTTGTCCACATCAGCAATGTCCACATCAATGTCCACTCTCCTTGTCCACATCAGCAGTGATAGATCAGCAGCAAAGGGTTTTGCATCAATAAGAGAGAATGCAGGAAAACTGCCTACAGAGATATCACCACATTCTACGAGGAGAATTTCCCCATCATTATGTGTACTGCCAACCACTGCAACATTGATGACAAACACCTGTGCAGAGGACCAAAGCAAAGATGGCAGGATATAAATTAACACAGATATAAAAATCATCTGGTGGTTTGATCATCTGAAATGGCATTTGTTGATCTGAAAAGTGTAACCATGTACCTGTGGGGAAATGCTAAAAATAATAATAAAATATTAATTTGAGGTAATATTATCTTAGGGTTCTGGGGTATCTGGGGTTCTGTAACTCTGAGAATCTGCTGCCTCAGGCAACCAAAGGATGCCTTATGGTTGCATCAATCCTAAACTACATTTGTTTTTTGGTATACTGATTACTATTACATGTTTTTTGAAATATAAACTTTCCTTAGAAATCTGCCAGCTATTTTAAACTCCATTTGCAAATCCCCTATTATGCAGAGCATTGAAAAATGAAGTTCTTTATGAAGAAAAAGAGCAAAGATTAGGAAAGTAATATACTTGCTAGAGAGGAAGTTGCATCAGATGTGCCGGTGTGTTCATCACCACTGTGATAATCTAAGTATATTTATTAATAGCTCTGGATTCCTATAAAAGTATAGAAAAGAGGCGTGTGGTAGATTCAGTAGTATAAATAAAATATAGTTTGAATAATATAAAAGTAGCAACAATAAATACATCTGACTTGAAACAACGATTCAGGTATGGAACCATGTTCCTTGCAAAATCTCAACAACTCTGCACTTTATCCAGTAAGGATATAGATAACTTGAGCACAAAGTACAATTCTTTTTTGTCAATTATAACCAGCTAAAACATATCACAGTGGGAAACATGTACAAGTATGCATCATCCCCTAAACATATAGTGTACTACCCAGCTGCCATTTTCCTTGTTTCACAAAGCTATTAGAACTCAATATGGATGTGTCCCAAAGTATGTCTGATGCAGTACTAAGAAATTTCATTCAAAACAAATATTCTGAGGTAATTTTATTGTTATTGTTTTAGATAAAAATATTACAATATTCAAGATAAAATTATTAAAGGTAAAAATACATTGTTTGATTTCCCTTCTAAACAATTATACATACAGCACACTTTTTTTAATTTTTCATTTTTTTAAACAAATAGAACTATTAATCTATTAGGCTATCTGTGTTCTCATCTGGCACTTAAAAACAGGTCATGGGTCACCTTCTGATTCTGCTGATTATTAAATATTATTAATAACTGATATATAATGCTGCTGTATAGGTGCATCTTGTAAACAAACAGTACAGCTTTGTGGTATCACAACAGCAGGATGTGCTTTGACCCACTAAAACCATATTTCTGCCAATTAAATAAATGCTTTTGTCTTTTCAGTTCAATAACATGGTTTGATCCATCTGGAAGTGAGCAGTGTGAAGGTGCCATACAACTGAGGTCTGTAAACACTTAAGTCAGGACAACAGCAACAAAAAAACCTTAGATGTGGACAAATTGTAATTGTTACAGAATTTCACATTTTGCTGGGATGTCCTAAACAGTTCAAGATTATAATTGTTCCTGATTCACAATTCTTGGATCAGCATGAGTTGATTCTATGGCTTTCTATCTGATAGTGACAATTCAGACTTAAATTGCCTTTTTTTTGTAAATCATAAGTTTCCAGTTACTTATTCCATATTGTTGAGTCAACCCAGACAGGTTCCACTTGAAATAGATCCCACAGACTTTACTATCGCTTATCCTAATATCAGTGTTACTTACAGTCATAGCCATTTTTCCTTTGATTGATGGAGTATTTTAAAACCATACTTGACACTTACATCTTCTTGGATGAAGCACACAATTTCTTCTGACCGTGATTAAAAGTTATATTAATGTGATAGATAAAATGAATTTCAGAAATCTTCCTATGAAAATGGAAGAGAATTCTTGAAAGCTAGTCTTGTTTTCTGAAAATATTATTTCAAAATGATTCATACTGCAACTATTGAGAGAAAACTTCCATAGCTGTTAACAGAACAATCCAGTTGTTCTCACAGAATTCCTACATATATCAATTAGTCCAACACAATAACTGTATGCCCAAGATTACCAATCCATGTAGTGGGGTACATCATCGGAAAGGGCTCTGAACATTTACATTTGATGTACATTGGAGTCAGGTAACTTCCAGTTTCATGGTGACTATTAACCGCATGACAAGGTAGCTTACGCTAAAGATACTGCAGAATGCTTCAAATGAGTCCTTGTATTGCTAGCCATTCTCCTTAAGCCAATCAAGCAGCTATACCTTGATTATCAAGTTTGCATCTGACCCAGGCCCAAGCTGATTTTTTTAAAAAAACCTCTATCTAAACAGGGTGACTTAACCCATTCATTCATTCATTCATTTATATTTTGTATTTCTAGACAGTTCATCTCCCTCAAATTAGCACTAAATACTTGCCGTTACTGCTAGAAAAATAAATTCTGTGCATGAAACAGTGCCTTTTTAATTTTTTTAAATGATGGGAAACTTGTTTTTCAAAAGGCATTTCTAACTACTGTAGAGTGAAATTACTATACTTGGGACTATATAATCATTAGTATTATACTTCCAGATAATGCTATTATATTCTAAAATCTTTAAACAAAATGTAAATTTAATATTATTTTAAAGCAGAAGAGTAATAATTGGGAAATGTAAAAAGCCACAACATTGAAAGCACCCAGTGTTATGGGACAATAATGCTTAACCTATTTTTTTCCCTCATCTGAAAATTCAGTTTCATGCAGCTTTATTCTCATAGACTCAAATTTAATTTGAACTTGCTTTAGACATTTTAAATTAAATCTCACTAACCAGAGAGAATAAGTGATCCAAAATCGAAGCACCAACTAATCTTTCCAGTCCATAATCATTTAATCTGAAGTAACAGGATGCTAAGAGTAGACATTTGCCAGGACAAAATATAATTGAAATGAGGACCTTCCTTCTCACTTTGCAATATCAGTAGTTTGTGCATGTAAACAGAATAAAGAAATTGCATGGTTTGAATTAAAGCTTGTGAAACATGTTTCTGCATATCTTTTCTTTTTCTCTTTACAATCTCAATTCTTTTTCATAAGTCTTATGCTTCTGATCCTCCATAACTATATACTATAGCATTGCTGGTTCAGTATTATCTCCAGTTTTCAAAAGTTGTTTTGAGCATAAGAATGGCCAAGTTAAAAAAACCTTGATTTTAATATGAAAATGTACCTTACTTTTACATCATAAAGGAATTATGTACCTTACCTTTACATCATAAAGGAATTAGTTGATCATTGGCTTCACTCAATATACCAAATTAATGCACAGTCCCCATGAAGGAATTGCTAATTAGCAAAATACAGCTTTCAATGATACTCCTTTCTGAACAATTTTTTCTCTTAAAGAATGCTGGTTAAAAGAATAACATATTTTTCTTCTTCTTTGTCCATTCTCAAATGTCCTTATTTAAATTCTTTCCAAACTTATCACTTAGTTGCTGAATTAATCTTCCCAATTCTCCTGATGCTTGGGATTTCTCTTCAAGAAGCTCATAGCGGAGACTTGAAATGTCTTGCTTAATCTCCTTAAGTTCTCCTATTGGGGAAAATAAAATAAAATAAAATGAGATTTAATTACCTTGAATGTAAATCAGCGCATTTCAGTTGCTCTTCCTATTTTTATTTCACCTAGCCATGCCTTAACGGCTGCTTCAAAAGGGACAAATGATCACTTGGCTACATTGAACTATTCCCCAGTTCTTTTTAAGCATTTTCTAAAATGTTACTTATTGCAATCTATTGCTCTCTCAATGCTTCTGAACTCTGAAACCTAGAAACACTCCTAAATATTATTGACTGAGCTTCCTTCTAACTTGGAGATTATATGTTGGGTTCAAAAAGCATATCTATTAAATTCCCATATTGTTATTTGCTATCCATTGATGCTGCAGCAAAAAATTGATAATAGAATTTACAACTTCCATTGTAAGTTGTAAGTTCCCTTGGGGGGTGGGTGGGTGGGTGGGTAGGGAGAAAGATGCACTTGAGATATTTATATTTAAGATAATTCAATGATATGCAAATTTTAAACATTAGCATCACTAAACTTTACTGCTCTTGTGAATATGTGGCAGCCCTCCCCCACAAAAACTGCCTCATGCCATATTGACCATTTGATTGACAACCAAGTAGAAAAGATTCATTTAAAAATCCATGACTGTAACAAGATTCATTACAGTGCTGTTAAATTTAAAAGTACTCGCCTTCATTGACTTCATCGTTCTCACGATCTACTTGAGCTTTCAGAACATATCGCTTAATTAGCCTCTTCATTATTTTCTGAAAATGGAATTATAATAGGTTTATTGGTATTATGTTGCCCAAGTACATCTACAGCATACAAGGGTCACATTTCAAGACAATTTCTTTGATGTGTTGTGGGTTTCAACGGTCTTACACAAGTTCGCTTGTACTGAAGAACTGTGGCCCAATGATTCAATTGCATATTTATTTGATAAAATGTGTCTATATTATTTTATGTAAACTATGAAAAGCATTACATGCAAGTCCTCCCACCCTCTGAATAAGTGTTAGTTTCTCCCTAGTTGCTACCATACAATTACTCAAGTAATGCCTGTATTGTTGGTCCATGATAAGGCTAATTCAGTGGTGGAGAAGGTACTTTCTAGGCAAAAATTACCATCTTCACTCCCTAAAATCTCTAGGAGCTGTTGTTTTAGAAACTTTAAAATTCATCCAGGTAATGTAATGTAATGAACAACAACAATAATTTAGCCCTAGAAAAGTCAGCTCTATGAAATCTTGGAGCATTGTCTAACACTCTTACTAATCACGGTACTGAACTTCATGTAAGCTTCTTATTTTACTATATTTAGAAGCTTCTGGCTGTGGACTATTTTAGCATTGCCACCACGTAGTTGCTCTGTCATTAACTATTAACCACAGGGTTAGAAACAATAGGGAATAATTGGGAATTTCTCTACAAATGTCAGAAAATGATGTATTTCCACGTAACTTATATTCAGGACTTTGCTATTATGTACGTTTGCTAAACAAATAAACAAATAACCCCATAGCATAATCACTGCACAGATAATCCTCACAACCACAATTGAGCCCCAAATTTCCATTGCTAAGATGTTGAGTGAGTTTTCCCCCATTTTATGACCTTTCTTGCCATAGCTGTTAATTGAATCACTGCAGTTGCTTAGTTAGTAATGGGGTTGTTAAGTGAATCTGGCTTCCCCATTGACTTTGCTTGTCAGGAGGTCGCCAAAGGGGATCACATGACCCCAGGTCACTGCGACCGTCATAAAGATGAGCCAGTTGCCAGTTTTGATCATGTGACCATGGGGATGCTGCAATGATCATAAGTGTGAAAAACAGTCATAAGTCATTTTATTTCAGTGCCGTTGTAACTTTGAATAGTCACTAAATGAATCATTGTAATTTGAGAACTACATGTAAATCCATCTGGATAACTGATAGAAAATTATCATGATCTAGAAAATCTGTGATGTGTTCTTTATGGCTTATGTTCATGACTTTCAATTTTTTTTTTTGTGCTGAACTGACCTCTCTGATTTGAATAAGACTATGGAGTTTTGGTGTGTTCTTTCACTGAGTGGCCTTGAATATGGATTAAATGATATAAAGGAAAGGGTGAGATCTTGTATTGAAAATCACAGAAAAAGTTTATCTTTGGGCTATAGATTTTCAGTATGAGTTTATCAAAGGAGGAAGAATGAGAATGTTGGTTTCTTCCAAATGATGACATCCTCTTGAACAATTTAATTAGTCTGACTTTTTAGATTACTAAAGTATGAAAAACTGTAAAGGGAAAAAGTAGGAAACAATTAAGAGAAAAGCCACACATGGATAAAAATGACTTTGGAAACAAAGAGCAGAGATCTATTCATTTAATCTTTATGTTGTTCCGTACGTCAGTTTATTTATTTAAAGAATAAAAGCTCTGTCCTCTACTTTTGGATATACTGACCCTCTTCATAAATGCTAATCTCTAAAAGGCCAAAGAAAAGGCAATTTGGCACTAGACTCCTGCCTGCTTATGATACATTTAACATTATAAAGAGTGACAAAATTAATAAGATATACAATTCTAAAAACTGAATGCATGATTTAAGAATCTCATAGACTAAAGCTACCACACAATGTGAGGAGAAGAAAAGGCCTATTTTTTGCAGAAAGGAGGAATCTCCAGCCTAAAGGATACAGTTGATTCCCCAACTTGTTTCATCCTAACCTGGAGAATCTTGAGTAAGAACCCAAACATTCAAAAATTTCAAACAATTGCCATTAGATAGAAATAAATGCTATATTATAGGGAAGCAGGTGAAAGTATCAGATTGTCCTTCCTCCCTCAAGACAGCCATTTACCAAAAGTGGCCTTGTTGCAGAAAAGTTTAGGGCAAGGAAAGAGGTAGGATTGTTGCTGCTTCCTCCAAAACTCCAAATTCTAGCACTCTACTCAGTGCTTCAAAGGAAACAAAAGAGTCATGACAATGGAGTTCAGACACCTGTACTCCAGACAAGCTCTGTTTCCCTATGAGAACCTAACATTACTGAGTGGCCCAAACAGTTTCAGGCTTATTTCCTTTCTAACTAATTATTATCAAAGCCTGCTCTTGCATTTCAAGATTCTGAAGATAGGATTTTTCTGTATTCTTTTTCATCAATGAAGGGGCATCCATGAAAAAATAGTTAGTGAATTCAATTTGGCATAGCTTTTTCCTCTCACCCTCCCTTTCTCTCTCTCCCCCCCCCAAAAGATCAGTGGGATAAATTAAGCAAGTTCTTTTCCATTCTTGCTCATGGACCTTTTCTGCAACATTGAATTTGCATTATAATGTATTAGTTTTAATCAGTGTTTCCCCTCAGAGTAAATGAGAATAACAAGGGACTCCTTTCTAAGAAGAAAACAATCTTAATTTAGGCAAAAGTACATAGATATAAGTAATAACTATGATATTGACTAGGAAAAAGACAAGCAAAACTTGGATATATAATGCAATGTACACATTAGTAATTTTACTATGAGTGTGCCTGGGTGTCTGTGTCTGGGTGTGTATGTATGTATGTATGTGAAATATATATGCAACAAGGCATATTTGCATTTACAAGACATATTTGCATTTACTTCCAGAAGCATTCATTAGGTATAGTGCACATACTATATGCTGAAGATGGCTATGGTGGTGGAATAATCCATTGGGAAGTAGTGTTGCCACCTGAGAAAACATAAATGGAGGAACATATTTTAGGAAAGCAGGGAAATAGTTGTGTCCCAAAAGAAGATACTAATTATGAAGTGGAAGAAAAAGAAAAGCAAGGAATGACCATGCCAAAAAATCAAAATGCCACTACCTCATGTGCCACGTCTGTCTGTCTGTCTGTCTGTCTGTATTTGTGCACCATCCAACTCCCAAAAGTCTCTGGGTGGTTTTATTAATGTGTGTGTGTGTGTGTGTGTGTGTGTGTGTGTGTGTGTGTGATAACTAACCCTGACATACACCAATATTCTTTACTATTTACCTCTTCAGCTACTTCTACTCTTACAAGATAACCTTACATCTACCATATCCCCAATCCACATTATACACTGCTTTTTGTAATTTAGGCTTTCATTTCTCTAAGGATCTCATCAATACCCTCCATACACAATTATCTGGATCTCCCCCTTCTGCTCCACACACTTGCATAGTTTTGTTCACATGTTTTGTGATGTGATCTTCACTGATTCTTTCTATATGACTGAATAATTTCAATGTACTTCTTTCAAGGTGGTAATTCTTGTTTATATGCAAACCACATTCATTCAATGTCTGTATCCTGTCCTGTCTTGTTTAATCTCACATGCTTCTTGAAAACCCCATTCCAACTGCTTTAGGATAAAAGAAAAATAATGTATATGTAGAGAAAAATATGGTTTGACAGAATGTAGCCAAAGAGAACAAGGAACAGTTAAGCTTATAAGAGGCAGAGAAATGCAGATTAATTTTCATAGGAACTAAATTTTGGAAATGAATGAAGAGAGCAGAACAAGAAGCTTCCAACAGAGTTAATGGGATGAAAAATAAATGTGATGAGATAAATCTGAAATGGAATGGATGGAATACTGAAAGGAATTTTCTTAGGGATCCATATGGGATTTGTGGTTTGATATAATCCCTGGTTATATCAAAGAGTAGAACTGAACCGAACAGTAGAATTGAAAAGAATGCAATAAATGTTTCTGTCCAAGAAAAAAATGATAAAAAGAAGTCTGAGAATTTTGGAAAATAGTAAGTCTCACATTATAGCTGACACAACTGGAGAAAGGTTAAACATATAATAGATGTTTGTTTATAGAATGGTTGTGACTTGTTTAATGTTTGTGTAAAGACTACATCCAAAGCTTATGATTGTTAGAATGCTTATATTATCCCTCTTATCAAAAGTGAGGTACCAAGAGGGAAGGTGAATACTACAAGGAGAAAAAATATTTGGCAGAATTATGATAAAAAAAGGTGTAAGGGATGACTATGAACAAAATTAGGTAATTGCAGTTTTGTCTGGGGGCAGTGGATGAGAATGCCAGATTTTTTGTTCTTCCGGGAAGGTTATTGAGAAATATATAATAAGAAATTATTATTGTATGCTTGTTTATTTAAAGAAAAACTTGAATTATGAACATTTTGTGAGAATCCAGAGTTGAAGATTAGTTGGAAGTAAATGGAAGCTGATTGGTTCTACAGTTAGCAAGGAGTAAGACAAATACATGTGACATTCCTTCTTGGCTTACTAATGTATGAAAAGTCAAGGTTAGCTGCATTTTACAGGGATGAATGATTGCAGGTTAAGTACAGTTACAATGGAGTACTTAAGTGAATGAATTAGGAAGAAGGGAAGATTGAGAGAATTATGGTTCTTGGAGAGGAGATGCTGAAAAAAGAGCTTAGAAATTGACAAAGGCAACGTGTGAAATAGTACATGGAGAAAGTGGGTGTTAGGGTGGCTTATAAGGATAGAAGGATATAGAGAGTTATAACTAATGCTGTTGGTATAAACTAAATATTTTCCTCCCCTTATCTTATGTATTTAATTCTTTTTTTCTTACTATGTATTATTCCTTTCTGAATTTTGTAAAATGTTGCCTAATTGAAAGGGAATAGTAAGTTAATAAGTATCAGTGTGAAAGGAATGATTCAATTATCCATTTGTGGGTATCGTATATGGGCTGAAAAAAAAATCCTATGGCCCTTAATTGGGGGGGGGGGAAAGGCAGAAAACTCTCTGCAGTTAATTATTGATTCTGTGGACTCTTGAACACAAGTATGGTACCCCTCACTTATTTTTTTTTTTTTGGGTTGTTGAGCCAGGATGCTGCCCATAAATAATAAGTAATATTGATCCTTTGATGTGTCTCCCACTGTTTTCTGTCAGTGCCTGGTGGATCAGTGCTTCTGTTATTAACCCTAATTATCCAGAACATGGCACAGTTTATAATTTATCCCTGGGTATAATGAAGTTCACACTATTCTTTGATAGGCTGATGATTCCTGGCAAAAATATTCAATATCCCTTGTGCTAAACAGGAGACACTTACTGGCAAATCTGGGCAAGAAAAATAGAGAACTTAATATGTGGAGAAAAAAGATGCACTGTAAGCACTTATGCCTCAAGTCTGGTTATGTTTTTCATATTTCAACTAAAACCCACTATACATTCATGGGAAAAAGGAAAGTTACTTTAATATTCACATGAAGCTGCTTGAAATGTTAAAATAAGAACTACTGAAGTCCTTTTTTGTTTTTTTATGGCCATATATGATCCCTTGTGGATTGTTATTACCTGGAGGTAATTATAGTACAGCAAGATTGTGCTATCTTCTTTTTATTGTTCTCACCTGGATTTCAGAGTGCTTTATTTTTTCAGAATTTTCATTTTCATTAACCCTCACATGGCAGAGATGCATCTCTTTGAAATGCTAACTAGATACAGACCTGAACAAAGTCCTATTAATAATTGATTTATGCTTTCTCTTTCTGGCTGAAAATAATTATTGGGCCATTGACCAAAATGACTGTTTTATGCTGCTTGCTCTCTCTTTTGTCTAATTATGCCTTTTGTTATTACCACTTTATTATTATTTTTTTCCCGATGGGAAAAATTTAACATTTTTAATAATGTACAGTTTTAGAACAGAGCTTGGTAAGAACAATAAGAAACAGAGAAAAAGGTCTACTTCAAATTTATTTATTTATTTATTTATTTATGAGACTTATATACTGCTTTTAAGTGCAAGCACTCTCTAAGCGGTATACACTAGTAAGCAATATATATATATATATATTTACATTGCCCCCAACAATCTGGGTCCTCATTTTACCTACCTCGTAAGGATGGAAGGCTGAGTCAACCTTGAGCCGGTGAGATTTGAACCGCTGACCTGCTGAACACAGTCAGCTAAAGTGGCCTGCAGTACTGTACTCTAACTGCTGCGCCACTTTATGATTCTTTGCAAAGTTATTGATTTTTTTATTGCAGTTTCTAGCTCTACCATTGCTTAGGTGGTTCTAATATATTAAGTACTATATTCTTATTCTTATTCATAAAGATTAACTTCTGCGTTTTCATGCAGTTTAATATGAATTTATACTTAGGGTAATATGGCCATTGGTAGTGGTGGGTTTCAGATAGATGTTATTTTAAACTTGGGGGAGTATTTGAAATCCCTCTATGATGGCATTAATATAAGTATATTTTCAAAATAAGCCATTGAATTCCATGCATGTTTACACACAGTGTAAAGTGTTCACAATATATAATGGTTCACATATAGGCTTGCCAAACTGATAGTAGATTTAACAAACAAACAAACAAACAAACAAACAAATAAATAAATATCTGTGGGAAGCACAAGATTCCCTTCTACTACATCATGGTGCACATATGGTATGCATCATGTTTGGAAGAATTGAGGTCTCCTAAGTGGCTGCTGATTGTTTTTGGATATATATACAGATATGTATATATGTGTACATATACATATACATATACATATCTGGCAGTGAACCTGATATATAAAGAAATGTATCTCAGAAATATTTCAATAATTTGAATAAAATCCCACAAGTCAGGTTCACTGCCAGAGAACCTGAAAATAGCCAATGAATCATTTTTGACAAGGACCCAGACAAAACTGTGAAAGTATAAGGTAATGAATTTGACTGTGTTTTCATTAAACTGAAATGGAAATATTAATGAAAGAAGAGGAAAAAACTAAGTATACATGACAAGCTTTGATGAGGAAAATAATGAAGGATTCTGTTAAGATAAATCTCATCAACACTTCTTCAGAATCTCAATAGGCACTTGGAAGGAAGTGGCTTTGTTGATGTTCCAGCATCCATAGTTCCTCATCAAAGCTTAAATAAACTTAGTAATAATGAAATAATATAATTCAGATGGATTTAAATAAGTGTAAATTGATGCACATGGGGGGGAGTATTTACATATAATTGAATGGATCTGAGACCTTTATAACTTAACCAGAAAAAAGAAGATGGAGTCAAATGCCAACTCAAAACAAAACTGCCACTATTGTAATGTCCGCATGTATATTCACAAGATAAGATAATCTTTATTGTCACTTTTTTGTGTACACAATGGCACACATTAAATTGAATTTCCGATTCTCTCTCTCTCTTCCTCTCTCTCTCTCTCTCTCTCTACATATACATATACATATACATACATACATACATATACTGTATGTATATACATACACACATATACAGTATATACAGATATGCATATATTAATCAGAATTAAAATACATTGTGTATTTCTCACTACCAGATTTTTTTAAAAATATACAACTGGAAAAAAAAGCATAGAAGACAGCAAGCAAAATGAGTGAAAATTTACAACAACTTTTGTATAAAGAGAGGATGTTCGGAACTATTTAACGTAGAAAAAAAAGATCACTTGAGGAAAAATATGATCAAACTTCATAAAGTCAAATATGGCATGGAGAAACAAGACCAAGAGAATTTGTTCTCCTGTTTTTCAAAACACTAGGGTTGTGCTGAAATTGTTTGAAAGGAGATATTAGAACAAACAAAACAAAATATTTAAACACAGAATGCAAAACACTGTGGAGTTAATGGACTCTATCTTGGATTTCACCAATGAGTAATGGTATCAGTTCACAGAGAATGGATCTATCAAGGGCTAATAATATCAGGGCATTAGCATAATCTCCATGGGTAGCATGCCTGCAAATCCCAGTTGCAACAGAAAAATGATGGGAGAAGTAGGTGTTATTGTCTTCTGCTTGTGAGCATACCAGAGACATCCAATGGCCACCGTGCTGGACCTGGATGTACCTTGGCCTGATCTAGTAGAACTTTATTATATTCTTGTAAACAATTACATCTGTACTTTTAAAAATAATTAGAAAGCAATTCCTCCTACAGTATGATTTTAAACTACATAGACATAATGATCAAACTGTAAATAAAAAATGTGAAGGTGGCTTCTAATTGCTTTCCTTATGATAATTTTGCTCTCTTGAGTTTCCATTACCTGGTATCTTGTGGGGTTGTTGTAGGCATTCTTCAGGATAAAGTCTGACTTTGGAGTACTTGGCTCAAAATGAATTTTCTGAAATATACAAATATAGGGCATTTCATCATAATGAAGAACAAAGTATTAGTGATCTAATTCAAAGAAAATATCCACAAATATCAGTTGCCCATGCTGAACTGCATGGTGCAGGAAAAAAAAATCCTTATATAATTTGATTAAAAAAAACTGTAATTCTGTCCTATATTTAAATGGCTATTTTTTTTTCCTACTGTACCTGTCTGGTCATTCACCCTGTGTGAAAGAGATATTGTATAGTCTTCTGCAGTCTGGAAAAACTGATTGTTCTTCCAGAGTTGGGACATAGGTCCCTTTAGTTATTTTGAACATCCCACACACATAGTGGAAGGATACCTTCATTTTAGGATTTAAGATTTATACAACCATTTGGTACCACTGATATTTAGAATTATATTCATACTCTACTATTTCACCTGTGAACTCCAGTCAAGGATATTGTGTAGATAAAGGCATCTTATTAGCCTTCTCTCAAAGACATAGCCTATTTAGTCCACCATTAATATCTCCATTTTGGTCATCTGCAAAACGTATGGAAGTAAGCTTTCCATACAAGACATAAGGGTGATAGAAAAGGTTCAATGCACATGACTCTCAGCAAATGTAAACAAATATCACATGTAACCCATAGATATCAGGAAAGGAGCTGAAGAACCATGAGATCAATAGCTGTAAATTTCTATGAATGCTTCCTGGATATGCCAAGATCTGCTATGTAGAATCTATATGGCAGATATCGATAACTAAAGAACTCCCCCCAAGTGACAAAAATATGTTTTCCCCTAATGGTAACTGACTACTAGTATCATATGTCCTTCAATAACAATAATAGAGTTGGAAGGGAACTTTGAGGTTTTCTAGTCCAAGCCGCTGCTCAGGCAGGAAACCCTATATCATTTCAGACAAATGATTGCCCAGTCTATTCTTACAAATTTCCAGTGTTGGAACATTAACAAGTTCTGGAGGCAGGTTGTTCCACTGATTAATTGTTCTAAGTGTCAAGAAATTTCTCCTTAGTTCTAGACTGATTCTCTCTTTGATCAGTTTCCATCCATTGCTTCTTGGCCTGCCTTCAGGTGCTTTAGAGAATAGCTTGAATCTCTTCTTTGTGGCGGCCCCTGAGATATTGGAACACTGCTATCATACCCCTCGTCCTTCTCTTCGTTAAACTAAACGTACCCAATTCCAGCAACCGTTCTTTATATCTTTTAGCTTCCAGTTCCCTAATGATCTTTGTTGTTCTTCTCTGTTTCCTTTTTCTAGAGTCTCAACATCTTTTCTACATCGTGGTGACCAAAACTGGATGCAGTATTTCCAAGTGTGGCCTTACCAAGGCATTATAAAGTAGTATTAACACTTCATGTGAACTTGATTCTGTCCCTCTGTTAATGCAGCCTAGTACTGTGCTTGGCAGCTGAAGCACACTGCTGGCTCATATTTAGGTGATTGTCCACTAGGACTCCGAGGTCCCTCTCACAGTGACTACTATTGAGCAAGATACCCCCTATACTATACCTGTACATTTGGTTTTTCTTGCCTAAATGTAGAACCTTACTTTTTTCACTATTGAATTTCATTTTGTTAGATAGCGCCCAGTGTTCATGTCTGTAAAGATCCTTCTGTATCTTAAGCCTATCTTCTGGAGTGTTGGCTATTCCTGCCAGCTTGGTGTCATCTGCAAATTTGATGAGTCCCCATCTATCCCCTCATCCAAATCATTGATGAAGATGTTGAAGAGTACTGAGCCCAGAACAGAGCCCTGGAGCACCCCATTACGTACTTCCCTCCATGTAAATGCAGTTCCATTGAGGAACACACACTGAGTATGGCCGGTCAGCCAGCTACAAATCAAGCTGGTGGTGATGCTGTCTGACCCACATTTTTTTATCTTGTCAAGTAGTAGATTGTGGTCAAATGCCTTCCTGAAGTCCAAGTAAATTATATCCCTGGCATTCCTCTGGTCCACTTATTTTGTCACCTGTTCAAAGAATGCAATAAGATTTGTATGGCATGATCTGTTTTTGACAAATCCATGTTGGCTTTTGGTTATGATTTTGTTTGCCTCTAGGTGTTCGCTGATTCATTGCTTGATTATCTTTTCCAGAATCTTCCCAGGTATTGAGGTCTGGCTGATAGATCTATAATTATCTGGATCCATTTTTTCCCTTTTTTGAAGATGGGATCTACATCAGCTCTTTTTCAGTCCTTTGGTAGTTCCCCAATGCTCCAGGATCTTTGCAAGACATAGTTCAGTGGTTCTGAGATCACATCTGCCAGTTCCTTCAGAACCTTGGGCTGTAATCCATCTGGTCCTGGTGATTTGAACTCATCTAGGATGGACAGGTGCTCACCATTTCATTGCCTATTTTAACTTGTGTTTCTAATCTGTTTTTATGGTACTGTTTTTGATAGGTTGGACTGTTTTTTCCCTTTGTGTAAAGACTGATGCAAAAAACAAGTAGTTCTGCTTTCTCCCTGTTGCTTGTCATCTTCTTGCCACTTTCTCCCACTAATGGACCAATCATTTCCTTAACTTTTTTTTTGTTTTTACATGTTAAAAGGAGCTTTTTTTGGTTATTTTTGACTTTTGTTGCAAGCCTTAGTTTATTTTGAGCCTTAGCTTTCCTCACATCATCTTTGCAGGCTCGGGCTATTTGCTGATATTGTGCCTTAGTTATGTGCCCTTCTTTCCACATTTTATATCTGTCCTTTTTGTTTTTCAATTTATCAGAGAGTTCTTTATGCAGCCACACTGGTTTCTTTTGAGAGCTGATGTTTCATTTCTTAAAACATACTGTAAATAGAGTTGGTAACTGACCATTAAAAAAGTGAAACCCAGCCAAATGAAACCTGTTCTTGTGCCTTTAATAAAATCTTTATCTTTCAAAATCAGTGGGCAAAACTTTCCTTCTTTGGAGATACACATTATTTGTGGTAAGATCTCCTAGCTGAGCCACTACTGAACAAAGATAAGACCCTATTGAGAAACTAAGAATTCAAACATGACAGACTGGGGTGCTGATAAGGGAAATGACTGTGTCACTGTGTGTGATCTAATGCAACTCTATATTGTGTCTATTATTTTGCTTTAAAGAATTTGGCCATTAAATGGGAAATTGGAAACTGATGGACACAATGAGGCTGATAGATTAGTTTTTCTTTTGAAGAAAAAAAAAGACATATTATGGATGTATTTTTTGAGATAGTTACTGCATTTAGGCTTTATTTCTTTGCTCTTGAAAAACTACCAAGCTTTGTTTTTAAGACCACTGAAGGCAGTTCACAATGCTAAATAAAATAAAAGTTAATCTTAGAATATTATATGCTTTTTTTTTGAACAGCAGTATTTTCAGACTTAGAAACAAGTTTATCTCTGTTTTCATTTTGAAATAAAGAACATGCCTAGACAATTTTCTCTGGAAATAACAATACAACTGTTATTGTAAATATAAATCATAATGTTTTAATGGATTTTTCTTCTATTAAAAATAAATGATTGTCCGTGATATAAAGACTGGAAGAGCTGACCTCTTACACAATATCTTTCAAATCTAATTACTTTTTTTCACAAATAATAGGATGAGATGGAAATAGAAAAGAGAAAAACAATGTCATTGTGACTTTATGTTTTTATATCTTACATGTAAATATGTATGCATGTTGAATAATGGATTATAATTTTACTGGAGGATCTATGTTTTAAAATAAGCTTTTTTGTTTTTTAACCACTTTGGAAATATTCACATTCCTGTTTATATCACAATTTCTGCTGAATGATGCAAATTCTTTTTAGAACTGAACAATGGAGGTTTGATTTTGTCCTCTTATCAATGTGTCTCAGAATGATCCAGTGATGCTTCTGGCCACAAGAAATACACATTGATAGCAAATTATTTATTACAACCCAATCATGCTCCCTCAGAAACCTATTGGGTACCTCTTTAGATATAGCTTTTTCCCCACAAAGCTGTATCAATTAATTCCATGAAGTCTAGGCTTTTATAATTATTCCAGGGATGAATTGTAGCATACTTGTTCTCACATAAATACAAAGATAGTGAAAAATTAGTAAATGTCATTGGAGGAAAATACTGAATACACACAGAAATAAATATAAAAATAAAGAGAAAAAGAAAGAGTAATCTCTGGTTTTAGTCTTAATCAAGCATTCTCAGCCATTGCACCTTCTGGACAGGGTAAAATCAGAAACAACTTTTCTGTATCCTCCTCAGTTCAACTTCCCATAAATAGACAGACCCAATAAACATTGTATGGCATTTTTTTGTTGAATTAATAACAAAGAGCAGCAGAAAGCCATGAGTTGACATACACTTCCATTTTCAGTACAAAATACAGAAAAAAAAAGTTGGAAGGGACCTTAGTCCAACTCCCAGCAACCAGAAGCTCATGTACCATTCCAGACAAATGGCTGTCCAATCTCTTCTTAAAAACGTTCAATATTGGAATACTCACAAATTCTGAAGGCAAGCCGTTCCACTGATTAATTGTTCTTACTATCCATAATTGTGTCCACTGTTGCAGTTATCAGTTGAGCTGTTCCATTTAACTGTCTGCTTTTGAGCACAGACTTCCTGTCCCTCAAACTTCTTAACCATTTATTTTAGCTACTTTTTTTTGTATTTAAAAAAATCACCAGATTGAATTTAAGGACAAACACAGATTGTATTTCCTCTATAAAACAAGTAAGGTGGCAGAGAATTGACAGTCATTTACATGCGTTTACTTAAAAATAAAGCCAACATATATACAGTACAGTACTGTCTTGGGCTTTCAGAAAAATGTATATATCTACCATTAGCACTTTCTAGATTGTGATGCCACTAAAAAGCATTGCATCTCCTAGGAAGTTTAGGAAGCATCAGGAGCGAGTCCTTTAAAAGGCTGCTAATTTGACAAGTTTTTTAAAGGTTGAAAAAAGATAAACGGGATTGCTTGGATATGCTCCATATTTAGTAAGTACACAAAGCCAACCTCTGTCCCATTAATCCAGAGAAGGATAAAAAGTAGCCACATTTCACCCCAACATAAAATCTGTCAAGGAATCACCTACATTTACTTTCAACAAGATCCATAGATCATTTTTAAAAAATCTTTACTGTAGTTCTACTGTAAGTCCATTTAGAATACACCTTTCCATCCCTTCCATTATTAAACTGGGACTGGAAGCTATAGCAGCTTCCTGTAGCCGCCTTTGATTTATTTACGTATCTTTTTTGCAGTTGTGGAGTTCGTTATTGCGTGAAGCAGATTAAATGCAGGCAAATATTTATAACATTTTAAACACAGCTGTCTCCTCACAGGTTATAATTTGCTGGTTTCAGTAAAACAGTTTCCATAACAAGCTCCAGGTAATTTTTTGAAATCCAAAAATGCAAAAATGAAATGCTGTGTGGGACAATCTCCCTATACGTTGATAGCCAGATAAATAGAATATATCTACCAGGGCTATGCAATTCTTCAAGGCAACCCTTTTCTTCGATAAACTCTCAAGTGATGAAGCACTTTGAAGCTGATTTGCAAAACAACCCAGTCCCCTCACTCCTATGAATGGAATATAATGAACCATGCACTGGTATATCTAAACCTATAGATATATTGTCACAAGCATATAATGCCAATTGGAGCTTCATGGGTAACTTTATGCCATGTAATTGTGTAATGGATTTATCTGTTGTGTAAATGGATTTGTAACTGAAAATTCTGGATGGTAGACATGGATTTATGCACCTATGGTCTTGAAGAGGAAAGGGCATTTTTCCCTGTGGAAATGTAACAGACACCAAGATGGGTCTAGTCAAACTTTGCTGGACTAATCAAGCCTTGTTGGAAGGTATAAAGATGCATCACAGATGCAACAAAGTAGCATACAAAGTGGGCTGTATCATTGCTTCAAGAACTCAAAACTCAAACTGGCTAGCTAGACTTTGAGTCAAATAGGTGTGCACATGGGTTTGTGATTTTGTGAATGAGCAGAGCTGCATGTCAGAAACTGAATAATAAATGCTGTAACATTTTTATTTATTGCTATGCATCTGACTCTCTGATTGAAAATAGCACGTAAGGAGTTTCAGGTATATAAAAACTGGTTCATTTAGGGGTGCTACAGATGCACTCTAAAACCTTCACTGTAAAAGAGATTGGATCAACTGACCTCCAGGATTCCTTCTGTTTCTGATTCAGTTTCCCTGATAAAGCATTCCTAGGTAATAAATATATTTAAATAATGTGCAAATTATCATATATGTGCTTCCCCTAAATTTTAGAAGACCAAAGATGAAATATTATGTGATATTGTACATAGATTCTATAATATCTGTGAGGTAATAGTATGTTTATGCTATTTATTCTCTTAGATTATTTGCATACTTGCCATAATGTTAACTCTAATCATAGCTCTTTAGGGTTAGTTTTTGTCAAACTAATTGGGAGAAAATGAGGTTTTCAACATCTTTTAAGAGTCTCAAGGCCATTTATGGAGTAGAAGGAGTCAAACATTTTGGTATTTTTGGAGGAGCTAGATGATAGTTTAAGGATGAAATGAAGATTTTAAGACTTGCCTCCATTTCAGCTCTTAAACTTTCATTGTGGATGCACAAAATTTAACTGATTTTTCTACTTGGGGGGGGGTCAAGATGTAAAGGAGGAAAAGGCAGTCCTTCAACATAGTAAATCTTCTCTCAACAAAGGCCGAAAATATTAATTTTGCCAACTCCACTGCAGTCATGTTATCAGTTCTGTTCCTGCAGCTTCTGAGACCAAAATGGTGGAGATCTTAATTGTAAGAAAATTTCTCATCCTTGGGTAGAGGTCAGATCAATGAGGCAGAATTAGATCCAATCAAGTAAACACTTCCCCGTGGCCAGCAAGTTCATTCGCGAGTCACCAATTAGCAGTCTGAATTACCACATAGTTGAAACTGTGTGCCTCTAACATACCTTTTCAAGAAATAAATGCCTATTTTGAGAAATAAATAAAAATGACTGACTTACTCGTAGCTTGGAATTCAGCATTCCCATCTCAAGATCATTTTCACAGTTTTTGGCCTTAGATTTGCAGAGTTTTATGAGGCACATTTTTATTCTCATTATGAGATAATAAAATGATTTAGGGCTTGGCACTAGATTAAAAGGAGCAGGTAAAGTCCTTCCCTCATCAAAATAGGAAAGCCAGAGTTTAGCACGTGCAAATTTCCACTCCACATCTGCATCTTCCTGCAAAAGGAATAGAAGAACTGATTTAACTTAAAAGTCAAGATTAGTTTTTGACAAAGTGCAAACCATGTTGTCATTGTTACAGAGTTCAAGAGGTTTTTCAAGCTATTAAAATGCTTTGCCCTAAAGTAATCCTTTGTAGGATCATTGATACTAATTTCCCTTTGAAATAAACCACACAGAAAACTCAATACTTTCATTTATCAACCCTGATCCCCTACAGAAGGGTTACTTGTAATAACCTACTTAACTGGAGACACTGGACAAAGATCTAAATACTCAAAATGTCCCTTTTGATTACAATTTAAATCTAACTTTAATAGCATTGGATCTAACAGTGTGCAAGCAAATTATTTTTTTGGATAAAATATTATTGAAGAGGCCAAGGAACATGCAATGTACTGAATAAGAATATGCAAAAATGACTTCTATATTAATTTAAATAGCATTTTTCTTCTGTTTCCCTATTTTCAAATTACCTTTTCCACTTAGTATCCCTGAAATGAAGCCAAGCTAATTAAGTTCCTTGGCTTTTGATATAAAAAAATCATGAACCATCCAGAAAAGCTCCATTGTCTGATGGACTTGGAAAGCAATCAGAACCAAAAATTAAGTCTCTGCAAGAGATTCCTAGCTGGTGTTCTCTTTTTTTGAATTAAGTTTCAGGATGTTAATCATTATTTACATAATAAGTAACCAAGTCTTAAACAACTTCATCTTCAAATTCAAAGGTTAATTGGCAATTACTATCAAGCTTTTCAGAACTGGAGGAAGGATTCAAGGTGATCCAATCCCTTAATTGATGCTCTTTGTTTTTACATAATACATTGATATATTAAAATGAGAGGTCACTCTTACCTCAATTTCCTGATAAGAATTGTTGATCATGGCTATTAACATGTTGAGGAGGACAACCACCATGGTGACGTTATAAACTCCATACAGCACATATCCAATATTCTCAATAAATTTGTGATCGTATTTCAGCACCACTGATATTACCTCAGACAAGCCAAATATAGACCAGAATAAAGTTTTAAAACTTTCTTCTACCCTAAAGACAAAATGAAATCTTAATTAGCTATTTGGGTCTGAGCTGGGAATACATCACCATCCAATCACTGTTTTGAGCTGGAGAGGCTTTATAAATTGATATTAAAAATGTCTGATCTTAAAAAATTAAACAAAAGACACCTCTGAACTTGCCAGCAGATTTTGTTAAAGCTATTTTGTGGGGTTTGTGAACCTGGATAAAATGATTTATAATCTACAGTTTGTGCTTTAGTCTTATGTAGAAATCCAGTAATCATGTCTTATTTCAGCAACTAGAAACCAGCAACTAGAAACTTAGTATAATATATGAACTCAGGAAAACAACCACTTTTTATTGACTGTACTGCTGAAATGAATTAAAAAAAGATGTAGACCATTCAGAAATGCACTGTAAGGCAGTGCTTTTTTTGTCATAGAACAGAGTTCTGGCACCTTTTTTCAATGGATTTCCCAAGTTTTAAAAGTAACTTTTGAAAATTTGATGTTTTGTCCACCTGGACCTGAATCGTCTTGTTGAGCCTAGCAGGTTGGCGGCAAAATCATTAAAATGGTGCATGCAGACTGCTTCTGTGTTGATTCCAATGCATGCATATTTTGTCTGCGCTGGTTGTGATGGCACTGCTCAGCTTGTGATTGGTCATGTGATCATGCACTGAGGTTGCGCTCTGCGGGCAGCAACTGTTATGTTTCGTTACACAACTGACATGTGTGGCTGTGTGTACAGTGATTGACTATGTGCAAATGGTACACAATTTCCTTATTTTAAAAAATCATTGGTGAATTGAAAATCTTTTTCAAATTTTTAGTGTAAAAGTATGACCCCAAATTTAAAAATGAAAAAAAAATTACTAATTGCTTCTCAACCACCAGTCCTGCTAAGAACTGAATATATAATTTTTTTAAATAAAAGATTAACAAGATGTGAGTTCCGGCACCTTTTTTCTTACAAAAAAAGTATTGCTGTGAGGTAATACCATATCGATAGTGAGCTTGCCTTTGTCCTATCTTATGAAGAGTCAAATTATTCTCCAATCTAAACTGCTGATTATCATACTATCTCACAGTACTCAGATATATTAGACAACTTCTTCCCAGAACTGAATCTGTCTGCTCAGTCTGGTCATCTAGACAAGAATGCTGCTCCCCCGTGTAAAATACTCAGGGGGGATAGACTAAGTGCCAGACAGTTTGTGTGGTAATCCTCACTTTTTGGAACATTATTTGTCCAGAAGCAGGTGCAGCTTCATCTCTCTTAGCTTTGTATAAACTCTAAAAACTGCTTCCAAAGAGTCTTCGCCTCAGCCAAATGAGATATAGGGATGGTTATTAGTTTTATAAACAAGTATTTAAGCCAACAAATACATAAGGCTTACATTATGCATTTCTGAGATTACAAATAACAACATAAAGGTAAGGTATAAGCAATCCGTAACATAACAAGGTCTTGGAGGTTCATCAATCAGGCAACACAAACTTCAGATGTCTCTCTTGAAAATTTTGTGTGGGGTGGGGGGGTGAGGAAGGGTATACACAATCTAGGGAAAGGCTGCTCCGGGTATGGAGGGGCATATCAGAAGGAGTCTCTGTAGAAAGCATTGCCCCACACTTGGGGCTATCAGCAAAAGCCCTCTCTACTACATAGCACCAAACAGGCAGATTTAACTTGGGAAAGACAGAGAAATCCAGGGTGTAAATCTGCATAAAAGGTGAATTGTCCATTCTTAAGTATGCACCTATCTTACTGTGTGACTTATATTTGAAAACATGCATAAATAAACCCAGTTTGAATATGGGCCTTAAATCCTTCTTAAGAGAAATCTTCTTTATCAACATGGTAATTATATATTTTATTTTATTCTAATCTCACCTTTATTATTTTTTTATAAATAAATTCAGGGTGGCAAACATACCTAAAACCCCTTCATCTGCCTCCTATTTTCCCCACAATCACCACCCTGTGAGATGTGTTGGGCTAAGGGACAGCGATTGGCACAAAATCACCCAGGGAGCTATTTAGTCTACTGATAAGATAACAAGACTCGATTGTTTAATACAAACCAGCTGTTCTTTTTCTTTTTACGGCTCTGTAGTTCCTTAATTCGGAGGTCTGCAAATTCACATTATCTGTGCTAATTTTGGAGAGACATATATTTTGAAGTAGCACTTCCAGCATTTTACATTACCTAGGTGCTTTTTTTTTTTTTAGAGGGATGTCTTCCTCGATTTATTTTTTTTCAATTTATTTTTTCTTTCAAAAGCACCTGAAATGTAATAGTGAACTAGCTAGCAGTGACTGCAAACAAGGTGGTCTCAGATTAACCACTGCATTCCATCACTTTCTGGTGGCCAAAGGGAAGTAATTCTGCAGTGGCGGAAGCAAACGATGGGCCAGCAATGTATAAATGCAGAATTGCTTCCTGGCTAACTGCCCCCTATATGGGCATGGAACCAACAATTCCCACAGCTGGCATGGGTAAGACTCAACAATAACCCCTCTCTCCCTTTGGTAATAACCACATTCCATATTTCCCTCACTAGATTTCAAGAGATGAAATTTAATCTGAAGTATGGGTTGTTTCTGATGCACTGGACTCCAATATATTTTTCTTACTTGCCTGATACCTGGCATTCAATCACTTGGTGCACAGTTTAATTTCACTTTTAAGATATAAAATATAAAACTCTTTTTCATATAAGAAGATGTTAAATGCCACATAGCACAGACTGATAGTGAATTTTTCATTATACCATCAAGACACGTACATGTCTTCATAAAAACAAGCGTTTAAATAAAAGAACAAGCTCACTTTTTTCTATTAAATACTGCATTTAACTTTGATCCCAATAGCATTATATTATCTTTTAATTTGGAAGGGTTCTATTTTATTATTATTTTCTTTCTTGCAGTTTTAACAGTTGCATCAATTTGACTACTTTTCCTGAATTAGCAGAGCAGATCTACATTGATGTTGCCTAGCAACCAGGTTGAGCTAAAAGTATTTGAACCTCTTGCTGGCAGCAATCAGCCTTATTTAGTTAGAGCTGCCAGAACATGGCTGCTAAAATCCAGATGGCCTCTGAATGGGACCAAAGATACAGAAAAATCTTTGCTGCCATCTAGAGGCTCCCTTGATTTTCCTAGGCTAAATTTGGTAGCAATAAGTTTAGTACAGTATTTGGATTGAGAACCATATAAGAATTCTTGGGATATAGACTAGGCTACACTTGGTATATATCATAGCTTTTTTATATTACTGGAATGGTTCAGCTACACTGCTCTACTGCTGTGGAACAGAGAAGGGCCCTTTGCTTCACAATATTCTTGAACAGGATGTTTCATTCAAAGGTGCATCAATATTGTTGCATATCCCTAGTCCATGTATCAAATATGGCTTTCCTAATGTATAAGCAAGCATTTTGTTTTTGTGCAAAGGTTTTGTGCACCTAAACACCTCCAGCAACTAGATCTCTCCATTGCATAGAACCTCTAATCAAATTTAAACGAACACCTTGTAGTGTTTGTTTTCACTGTGTACAGTGTAGATCAATGTGCAGAATGTAGAGAGGCCACATAGAAACAAGCTAAAAACATGAAATATGTGCAGCATGAGTTTGCATGAGTATGATAAGACACTCATCAAAATATCTGTCATCTCCCTGACCATGCCCAAATTAACCACTTCCCTGAGAAGTGACCCTGGAGTGGCTGTTCCTTGATAGTTACTTTTACTTGTTCATCATTCATCTTCAGTTATGCCCATAGGCAAGGATTTTGTTTTTTTCTAACTCTGTTCAAGCATGATACTAGAAGAAATTAAAATGACTGTTTGCAGGATTCCAAGGAGTGCTGAATCTACCATTTCATCTCTACTTTTCCACAGGAAGGATGTCTCAGCTGATTTTTCAGTTCAAAGGATTCTATTAGCTTTCTTTTCAGAAAGCAGCATGTTGAAAAAAAATGTGGAAAGCAATTGGAAGGAAGGAAGGAAGGAAGGAAGGAAGGAAGGAAGGAAGGAAGGAAGGAAGGAAGGAAGGCTTCAAAATATAATAGGCAAAGAAGCTGCTTGTTGATGTATGTCAGTAAGCATTAGAGAATGAAAGACCTATATAACAAGCTTTTGACTTGAAAGGCACGATTGTAAAAAGGGTTCAGGGCATCGTATCCTAATCTGAGGTCTCTTAATATGTTTGATTGCAATCAATGTTTTGTTGGTTGGGAATGTTGGAAATGCCTCCTTAAAACCTCCCAAAAATGCTATACTAGGAAAGGTTAACTTAGAAATTTAGTCTAGATCAGACATGTCAAGCTCGCGACATCACGTGATGTTACACGACGTATCGGTTTCCTCGTGATGTGTCCGGCCTGTGGGCCGGCAGTTTGATACCCCTGGTCTAGATGATAGCTGTTGGTCTTCAAGCTGTGGAAATGAGGAATTTGATTCTGCAAATCTATCCTCCTTCAATATAGTCTTATTTAGGGGTATCACTGAGACACATTTTTGGGATTATAAATGTGAATCTGGACGGCTTTCATTTGTACCCTGAAGACAAGATCTATTTACAACTTTTAAAATCTGCTGAAACACAAAAAGGGAATGGAAACAGATTTGGAAAAGGGTGTTTTCTAGCTTGGGATGGGAAACAATCTCCATGGCTTGGAGTGGAAAATAGCTCAGCTCATGCTTTTTATCTCATTCCAACCACAGAGATAAACCACAGCCTTATAGCAAATCTTTAAGGATTTTTTTTCTCATTCAGTACAAAACGCCAACTGCCCACAAGGTTCCATTATATCCAGAAAGTGGAAATTGTGCAAAGGACTAGTAACTCAGCTACTATTTTCAAAGCCTTTCAGACTTCAATAGCAGTTATTGCATCAATAGCTGTAGCTTCACCTGGTAGTTCACCCCCAGATGTCACCATGGTTGTCACAGTGGTTGAGTAGTCAATGGCAGTAGCATGTCCAGAGGGGTAGCTACTTCAGCTAATTCAACAGTTTAT